GTTGAAATATTTTGATTTAGATTGATTTTCGGCTTAAAATTGACCCAAATCGGTTCAAAATATCGCAAATTGCTTTATTTTACCCTAAAATTGAGACTGGACAAATTATTTTTATTAAATACGTTAGTTTAGAATGAATTCTGTACTAAAATCGAGCAAAATTAGATTGAATATAGTTAAGTTGCTTTATTTTGGAAGAAAACTCATATTTAAGCTATTATTTTGTTGAAATACTTTGATTAAATATATTTTACTGTTGATTGATTCTAAATAATTTGTATTCCCTTGAATTTATTGCGACCGATTTTTACCAATTGTTCCGTGCTACGCCCTCTTGCTACAAGTAATTTACAAACCAAATTTTTAGTTTCTAGCTCCTTATATCCTCATAGGATAAGGAAAGTAAAAAATAATTTATTGAAACGCCAACAAAACAGGCTTTTTTTAGTTTTTGACCCGGAATTGAGTTGAGTCGAGTTTCCGCGAAGTAAATAAACAAAATTGAACATAAAAGTTGGTGAAAAATAAAGTCAATATTGCACCTACTTAGTCTTGATAATTTGAATGCATCTGCTGTGTTTATGACATCGACGTAAGCTTGGAGTTCAAAACGTCTTGCTGTGACGTTCTGGTTGTGGTTCAGCATTGCAAATTTGAATGCAGTTTGAACCTCATCAGTGCCTTGTTCGAATATTGCACCTAAAACGATAATTAATAAACTTGAAACAAATAGTTTCAGATACAAGTTGGATAAAAAACACTTAAAACAGGTCAAAGAAAACGAAACATTCTTTCTTTGGTTTGCTCTTTCACTGTTCGTGTAGTAAATCTCATTTCTTGATCGAGTTCTTATTTAGCGAAAAGTTTTCTCTCATTTTCCACATATGATTGTATTTCTACAGGGTGTGTCAGAAATTGTTTTATTTTCGAAAATAAATTGTAAACTCAAAAATTTCAAAAAATCTTATTCTTTCAGGTGTTTCAGTACTCGCGACTCAAGTAAATTAGAAACAAGGAAAAAATGTTAAAAAATTCTCTGTTAAAAAATTTTGACATTTGACATGTTTTATGTCTATTAAATGATGCTGATGATCTTGTAAAGGTTTTTTTTTTATAATTATTTAGTAAAGGTACAAAAATTTTCAGATTTAACAGAGTTACAATTTAGGATACAGCTTTCTTGTTTCCTCTTCTAATAGCCAGTAGCAAAAAAACTTGTAAAATTATTTTTCCAACAGAAATAAATAGAGTCAAAGTGCAAAATTTAACTCTCAAAACTTTGAAATTTTTATAGTTAGAATTTTTTTACATTTTTTCCATGTTCTTATCTTACTTGACGTTTTTCTCTGAAGCGCGACTTCTGGCGCACCCTGTATAAGCAACTTTTTTTTCACTACTAGCTATACAAGATACCATTATTTAGTTTATTGTTTTTTTTTTCTCTCCTAGTAGTCAATAATCATTTTTATTATGGACCAAGAGTTATAATGTATTAGAGATGGGAGGGTACAAATATTTCCAGAATATTATTATTGAAAACTATTACTATCACAAGTACTAACGGAAGTATTTCGAGATGAAATTATTGCAAAATCAAATAAAAAAACTTAAATTTTCTTATTAAAAACATCAGAATCCCAACTCTAATGCTTCTGTCTATGTCAAAACACTTTTTTTCTTTTCTTTGTAGTTTCTTTGTTATTTTCACAAATACTTCATATTAGGAAGTTAGAAAATTTCTTTATAATAGTTGCAGAAGTACAAAAGTGACATAACCCTTATTGATAATAAGAAAAAAATAACACTTCCAAATTAAGTTAATTACTCAGGTAAGTAATTAATTACTGTATGTAATAGTGAATTAACAAAAATTCTAATTGTGAATTACGACATGTTGAGGCAACATCTCCATTAAGTAAGGTTTCTGGGTAATAAATGTGGTGGTAGTGAAAAAAATGTTGTATAAAACACGGTAGAGAAGATTTTTATAGCCTCGACTATAAAAAAATCTCTTCTCTACCTTGTGATATAATATACTATTAAATTTTATTTTTGTAGTACTGTGACTTTGTAATCTAGACAAGTAAATAAAAAAATTATGTGATTGAAACTTATTTATTTTTTATTGTATATTTTGTGTTAAACACACGAGTGCTATATAACATTTTATCTAGACTTTTGCACCAAAATTAATAGTGGAGTCATATACAGGGTGATTCAAATTACGTCCACAACATTAATTTCAACATTGTTTGATAATTTGCAAGTGTCACGTGTGATTTGTTAGGAAAATTGTGATTGTGCGCGTGCATAAACACACATTATTATTATTTAACGTAAATTCTTTACACCTCTTTTTTCTGTATAAGGCTTTAAATTATTGTTGATCGTGAGAATTTGTGATATCTAGATCTAGTGAGTGAAAAAAATATTTGACTATGATTAGTTAATTTGTGATTGATGATGACATAAAGCTGTAGACAATTTTATCACTTACCTAATGGAATTTTATCTCCCGTGGCTGATACACTAATGATGATAAACGTCAACAAAACGATATTTTTGACGTTGGCGACGCTCATGGCGCTCACCCAGCCTCACTGATGCTGGACCAAGTCTCACAAAGCGACGCCCGATATAAAGGCGCAGTCGCATCTTCCTTCTGCAACTTCGATCATTTCATTTGATAGAATTATTTTTCGAAATTAAAAAAAAATTTATCCAAGTGATTTAATTTTTTTGTATTTTTTTTTGTTCTTATTTACTTTCACAAAAGAATTGTTTAATGAAAAATATTTATTATTTTTATTTCATACTCAACAAAATAAATTTGGTTGGTGGGGTGACTTTACAAATGCACTAAAATATTTTCAGTTTTTTATCCAAAATTTTAGTTTTTAGTAGAAAATATTGATTTATCTTAATAATGAGTTTTTATTTTATTATACAGCATGCGCCAGAACTAGCGCCTCAGAGCAAAATGTAAGGTAAGATACCAGGAACATGAAAAAAAAAATGTTAAAAAAATTCTATCTATTTTTACTACAGGCTACAGAAGAATTATTAAATTTTTTGTATTTTTACTAAATAATTATAAAATATTATTAAATGTCAAAAGTCAAAAATTAAATGTCAAAATTTTTTGACAGATAAATTAATTTTTTTTCTGTTTCTAGTGTCTTACTCACTTGAAGTTTTTCTCTGGGGCGCTAGTTCTGACACACCCTGTATTTAACAATTTATAATACTTATTGTTTAAAACTTTGTTATCTACCCGGCACCTCCACCATTTATATCGTCATTTTTCTTTGGTGTAATTTTTTTAATTAATGTTTTTTAATTATAATAAACTATTTTTGATAATGTTGCACGAAATATAATATTGTATGTTATTAATAATAATTCACTACATTTCATAAAATTAACAAGAACTTCTTGATTATTTTTATTAAAAAAAACACAACATATGTGATAAAAGTCTTATATTTTATTTTAACAATTATTATACATACTTTATTTATACAGGCTGCCCTAGAAATA